CCTCGTCGCCGGCCCCAGCCGTGTCTGTGCCTCGCTGACGTGCGCCCGCTCCTACCCCCTGGCGCTGCAGGTGCGAGGCCGTTGGCCAGCACTGGGTGCAGGAGTGCCCCACCCAGGGCGACCCCAACTTTGACAGGAAGCGCGTGCGCCCGCCGGTGGGCATCCCCATGACCCGCCTGGCGCTGTCGGAGGAGGGCGGCCTCGTGCTGCCGGGGGGCCAGATGGGCACGCTGGTAGCCAACGAGGACGCCTTTGCCCGAGAGATACTGGGCCTGCCCACCGCGGCGCCGCAGCAGCAGCCCGAGGCGGCGCAGCAGCAGCAGCAGGCGGCGGTGCCGGCAGCGGGCGGCGAGGCCAAGCCGCCGCTGCTTCTGCTGGACAGCAAGCCGGCGGCGGAGAGCGCCTCGGCGGCGGCAGCGGCGCTTGCGGTGAAGGCCGAGCCGGGGGCTGCCGGAGCCGCAGCAGCGGTGCCGGCGCCGGCAGCTGGCGGTGCGGCGTTGGGGCCCGTGGCCGCGCCGATGTTGGCTGGCGAGGCCGAGCTGGCGGCGTCTGCGCCCTTTGGCGCCATGCCCGGCGCCGGCTTCTTCAGTATGTTCATGCAGACGGCGCTGCTGCCCCGCGGGCCGCCCGACTTCCTGCGCTGCGCGTTTGACCGCCCAGAGCCGCTGCCGCGCGCGGGTGGGTGGCGCCAGCCGCTGCCGGCTCCGCCTGTCGGGGCCCGCCTGGGTTGCCCTGCAGCAAAGTTGGCTGGGCGTGGTGCAGGAGGGCTGAGCAGCGCTGCTCGTTCTTTTGTACTCCCGCCGTGCTTGTTCCTCCTGCTGACCTCTCGCCGCCGCCTGTCCCTGCAGAGTTTGAGCGGATGCAAGATCAGTACCGCGCACGCTTCAACATGCCGCCGCTGCGCCTGCCAGAGCTGCCGCCCCCGCGGCGCCGCACCCCGCCCCGGCTGCGCAGCCCGCCGCGCCGCCGGCTGCCTAGCCGCGAGCGGCCAATGATGCCGTCGCAGCGCAGCCGCAGCCGCGAGGGCCGCCCGATGCCCTCGCAGCGCAGCCGCAGCCGTGAGCGCCGGCCAATGCCCTCGCAGCGCAGCCGCAGCCGGGAGGGGCGGCCCGTGGCCTCGCAGAGTGATGTGCGGGGGCGCAGCAGGGAGCGCGGCGCCAAGGATGCCAAGGATCGCGG